CAATGAAAAAGTACATTTGTATAATAAGCACATATCATTTATATTTAATCAAGTATTTAGGCTTCAAAATCTAAAAAAAAAAAACGTTCAAATGTTCAGGAGTGAAGCAAATTAATCGCAATTTTAAGAATTTAATTGGATCAAATGTCTGTCTTGATTCTGTGAACAGTAGTATCTTGTTTTAAGAACCCGACACTGGGTTCAACAAAATTTCTTGAATGAAAATGCAATGAATAAATAAATTATTTCACCAGAGTGGCACCTATTTTGAAAACCGTTTCAAGCAAAATCTGCTTTTCATTAGAAATTTAAGATCAAAGGACATGTAAAGTGTATTTTGGAGTATTTATGCAGGGCACTCTTCTACTGCAGCCACATAATCTTTGTTAATAGTCACAGTTTTCCACTTTAACAAACTTCCAAACCCGTTTTTGCGCGTTTTATGCGTTTTTGTAGGCCCGTGCGTAAAAGCAAGGCTTGTGCTGTGCGCCATCGCCAAACGTCGCTGCCCCTGACAGTTACCAGGCCTCCCTAAAGAGGGCAGTCAAGCATTTTTCCTCAGTCTCCACAACTCCCAGCGGCCACAGGCTCAGGAATTCACATTTCACATCCTCGGATTTTCCAGCCATGGTGGAGAGGCGAAGCAATTAAAATGTCGCCTGGGTTTTTTAAGAGCGTGTCTTTTTTCCTCTTTCTTCTTTAGTGTAAATAGCATTCACTTCGGCAATGGCTATAAAAACACAATAGTTGCGCGGAGGGGAGATAGAAATAGAGAGGGAGAAGGAGGGAGTATTGATTTATACGCGCATATTGTTATGGATAAAACAGACTCTCTCTTGTTCGCTGTTTTGGGGGAAAAACAAGACACTGACTTTGGGATCCAGGGCTGCATTCCTAAATGTATCAATTAGACAAAACTCGCTCGGCTCTACTCTTCATGTCTCCTCGGTCGGCTCAGCCTCTACCTCCTGAAATGCAGCGTATCCCGGAGACACATCGGCTGCAGAGCGCGGAGCTTTACTAAGCGGAGCCCTTTGACTGCGGGCAACAAGGCGTGAGGGAGAACTAATCCTTTCATTTACATGTTTGTAGCAATTTTACCTAAATGAATTTTAATGCCAAATGAAGGATAATTCGCTTTCTTGCCGAGTCCCCCCCCGCCCCCCTTCCTCGCCCCCCGTTTCAATGTGTGAAAAATATAGCATAGCGCATGCATTAGCTGCACATAATCCATAGCAGTTGTCAGGTTGACTTACGTGCATGTTCCTTTAAGTATAAATGTACATTTGCCTTTTTCAGTGGGCACCTGTTGACATGTAAACATGTTTGTGCCTAATTTAGTGTCACCACCTCATTTGTAAGATTTCGGCTTTTAGTTAAATTATATATCATATCTGCATATAGAAACATAATGTAAGACTAGTTATGAGTTCTGTTATTTGAACAAAAAGTATTTATTTACAACACAGATGTACATATATACCCTTCAAAGTAAAAGCATAAGAATCATGACTTGTCTTCAAAGGAATCTTAAAGATGTGCGTTATACATATTTGAAGCAATGGATAATGGATGCATTGATAACCCACACAAGCGCGCGCGCACACACTCATGCACACGTTCCCCCCACATACACACAGAGTGATTTTTACATTCTCTCTTGTCTGCCAATCAGCATACATCATCTGGTTAAATCAAAATGAATGGACTGTGGTATAAATGGTATTTCCCAAAGCCTCTGCCTCTCCCTGTGATCCGGCCACATCAAATACTGAAGGGAAGGGAACCCACTGGCCATGCCAGTGCCCCGTCTTGTGATAGGAAACACATTAATAGGACACTAGAATAGACTTTCAGAGGCCCTTAGTCATAGACAGAAAAAAAAAAATCAGTAAACGTTTGTGGGACACAAATTTGTGGTTTCCCATCCACTGTGAGTTTTCTTTTTTTTCCAGACTGAGCATTAAATGAAACTCTGCAGCCTGTCTTGATGTTGACACCTACTGTACATTCTGTGTCTATCCTTGTGTGAGTATAAAACAGATGAAATGAAAAATTGGACAGTAGCAACTGGACTAAAAACCTTGGGTATCAAAAATGTTAACTAGTCAGAAACAGTTTGGAGTTAATCAAATGAGTTTTAAAGAGAGGTTCATGACTGAAATTGTCAAAGAATTTTCTTTACCTATATTCCCCCAGTAAAGGAACATACAACTGCTATGAAAACATAAAAAAAAAAATCACTAAACTCACACAAGGTGTAGACACAGCCACAGTGATACAAGTTAGTTGCACCATGCATGTAGGTGGAATGGGTCGCATTAAAAAACAAAATCAGAATCACAAAGGACATCTGCACAGCCATCACACTCTCTTACCATCCAAATAACGGCCTGTGAGAAATGACAGATTGTCCATTTATTCACCTAGTTTTTTCTTTTAAAAAATGCATTGTGACTTAATGGAGGGAGGGGGCAGAAGGTCAGATCTGAAGGAGCGATGGCACACACAGTGTGGAAAGAAAACAGAAAAAGAGGAAAGTTCACATCCTTTTTAAAAAAATCTATTAGAAACAACATAATATGCAGAACAATACAATAGCATTTACAATACTTAAATTCCCAGTTCTTGTGAGAGTCCAGCATCATTTTACAACAGTATACAGTATATTTTTTCTCCACTCATTTCCCAAAGTAGGGGTTGATATAGTTACACTTTTAATTTCTTTTCTCTTGCTTTCCCTCCTTCCATGTTTCAATCCACTGTATTTTGAAAGGGCACCTCTTTTGCTTTGTGAGTGTCCTGTCCGATACAGACATTGGCTTCTCCTTGGTTTAATTCCATCATCCACAAGATTGGAGTGCTCTTCACAGGAAGTCTCTTTTATTTGCCAAAGAGTCTAGAATATATCACCAGGTGCCACTTTCACCGAAGGTACAGGAAAGGACCCAGTGCGTCATCTATGCTTGCAATCGCAGTCAGTTTCAGTGGAGGAATCCAGGTGAACTAGTGGGCAAAGGCAAACGGGCAAAGTGTAGTGCCCATCAGAGAGGAAGCAGGGGTCTGTCAGGACAGGGGGTCATCTGGGTTGGGTGATGTTGGATCTTCTGTGCTACATTGTCGCGTTCCATGTTGCAGATATCAGCCAAATAAACTGTTGTTGGGTCCCGGAGGTGGACAGAGAGTTAGCTGCTGTTTCTTGTCGTCAGGAAGTTAGGGAGTCCCGTTCCCATGCTGTGTAGGCCTCTGTGAGACAGGTGATCCCCTGGTTTGCCCTGAAGTTCTGAGGAAAGACAAGATCAAAGTGGTTTGGTTAATGAATTTGCATTAGGTGAGTGTTTGGCCCCAGAATTAGTTTTCTGTAGGATGAAACCCCTTAAAATAACTGATCAAATGTTGAGCAAACAAGGTTGCACTTGGCAGCAGTAATACATAAATGTATGAAGTTTAACAAACCAAAAACCCCAGTGTGTGCATCATTCAAAGTCATCGTAATATTGTCAAGCTCTGAACATGTTGGCATATTGTCTCCACCACTGGAGCAGAAGGCATTTAATTGTTAAAAGAAAACTATTGAATGAGTTAGATGTCATTAATCATTCATTAAATAGGACAATAGATCACACTAGAATTCAGAATGCAGGCACTCGGGTTACATTTTCAGGCCAATAGCACATGAACATGGCCGGCCTCATGATAAGTCCCCGAAGGAGCAGTTATAGTACAGCATGTGGCAACTGCTTCAAACCCACTATAGTGTTAACCTGGGTCAGAATACAGACCCAAGCCTGTCCTTCTCCTAGTCTGTGTGGCTGTATGAGAGAGAGAGAGAGAGAGAGAGAGAGAGAGAATGTACTGGAGGGTTTAGTGAGTTAATCCTACATCCTCAGTAATGCTACTTTAACAGTAGCAAAGGACTTGGACCAAACACACATGATCGACCTCAAGTGACAGCAAGGAATAGTACTTAGCATGTCCTGGATAATCTGTTTAACTGGTCTACAAAGAAACTTCTGATTTATCTTGTGATTGTCCACACTTAGTTAAATAGATGACTGCACAAGAATAAGTCAATTTGATATTAAGGTGGCATACAATTCAGTCTTGTTTTATAGGGGTATCAATTAAAAGATCTAGAATGTATTGCATTTACCTTTTTATGTAACACAGGGGTGGGCAATTCCAGTCCTCAAGGGCCACTGACCTGCTGCTGATTACCTGGCTCAGGTGTGTTCAGTCAGTCAGAAGCTGGAAGATACCATCTTAGATGAAAGTGGAGTGAGGAAAGAAAGTGAACTGGTCAGGCAGGGATAGTTGGAAAACAAGCAGGACAGCTAACATATCATCCAAAACTCTTAAAATGGTGCAACCTGTGCATGCTTACAAACTAGGAGGTGCAGAGAACACAGTATCTGTATTTATTTATATTAGAATAAAAGTGAAAAGCATAACAATCCTGTTTTTGTTTATGTTACACTTATTTTAGAATATTAAAGTGTTAATATAAGGGTAAGTTACAGAGCTAACGTCGGGAATGCCAGCCTAATTTCTTCCTGGTTAAACAAGCTCTGCTGCATCTGTGTTCTAAGTAGAAACAGTGGCACAGCAACTTTGCGAGAACAGCTATAAATAGCACTCTGTTTCTCCAGTGTGATATCTGCAACCATGTGACACAGACTGACTGAGCAGCGAGCACAGTGTAAACTAGCTAGTAACTGCACTGCCAGAGCTAACATAGACTAATCTCCTCCTCGCGGTCAAACAAGCTCCCCTTCACATATTGCAGGACTGACAGGAAAACAAAAGACAATTAACATTATAATAAACTTCCTCAGCAGACCAGTTAAGTTAAATAACTGATATAATTGATAATAATTGATATAACTGGCTTAGCAACATACTATATTTTGCTGAATGTCTATATTTTAATCAGGCTGTGTTGCTCCTCTTCACTCTGTGCTCTCTCTCTCTCCCCTCCACTCTCTTATTGTCTTGTCTAGGTCAGCACAAGCAGGTGGAGCATAAATACTCAGCATGCTCACAGGTATGAGGATCATCAGCTATTTTATAATTCTTTTGTTTTTCTCCCCAAACCAGTTTTTAAAATATTTGTAGGAAATAAATATCTGTAATCCACTATTTGTGCTTTTCCAAATACTATATTTGTATTCGACTCCACCTCTATAACAAAGGACCTCATACAATGAAAAATGAAGTAAATAAATCCATCTTCACCTTCTTCCCTCTCTACATTCTTCTCTCTAAAGCCAACAATAGCTGCCATCCATCTCTGCAGTTGCAAAGTCACTCCCAAGAAGCCACAGCCATTGTTGTCAAAACCAAAGTGGAAAGGTAAGGCTTACAGCCGCCTGTCACCTGAGAGCACCCAGGGCCCATCCACGTGTTCACCGCAGGCACAAGTGGGGCTCTACAACTGACACAAAGGCTGGCAGGGAAGAGGACAAGGAAGTGCAGTGGATGGAGGACAATAGAGGAGTTAACACAAGGGCCCTCATTTGTTTTTCCCCTCATCAAACTGTTTTCACCTGGGCTGCACGGAGTCAGACCCTCTCCTGAAAACTGCCATACTATAGCATATCGTAATAATGGGGTCTGACCACCTCCCATAAAATGTCTTACTGTAGTATATCGTAAAAATGAAGTCCAACCCTATCCTGAAAAAAATGCCTTACTATATATAGTATGTGGTAAACTACCTACTGTAGTCCACACCAGCTATTGACTGCACCCTGACAAGGAAACAAACCCCAGCCTGCTGTGCCAAAGTCACCGCTGAGTTATCCGCCCACTGTATAGGCACACATTTAGAACTTTTACTTGTTTCTGCTACTGGTCAATAGGGCTTAGCGTCTGGAAAATTGTAAAAAGGCTGTAGGACAGAGCTAGCAAGTGAGTGATGTCCCCGACTCTAGCTTGTCTCATTCAAATTAATGGAGAGGCAGAGAAATGTCCTAAATCAACATAAAAACAACCGTGATAATTCAAAAACCGTACAAAAAAAGATGCAAAAATGCAAATGAATAGTTGAACTTGTTGTGACTTGTTTAAAGGTTGAATGGTTTTTCTAGCTTAAAGTATGCTGAAGCTATTTGGGCTGAAAGAGGAGGAAGATTCTCCCACAGACTTCCATTATAAAAAAATGTTGAAAAAAAGCTTAATATTTTCTGGTGGAAATTTTACAAGCTACCCAGCAGTATGTACTGTAAAGTAGTTAAGATTATAATTATATAAGCTCATTAAAACTTACTCCCCATTTATCAGCTGCAACATTAAACACCGTGTACACAATAGCACAGAGGTGGCCAATTCTAGTCCTTGAGGGCCACTGTCCTGCTTGTTTTCCCAACTATCCCTGCCTGACCTGTTGCTGATTACCTGGCTCAGGTGTGTTCAGCCAGTCAGAAGCTGGAAGATACCATCTTAGATGAAAGTGGAGTGAGGAAAGAAAGTGAATTGGTATCTTCCAGCTTCTGACTGACTGAACACACCTGAGCCAGGTAATCAGCAGCAGGTCAGGCAAGGATAGTTGAAAAACAAGCAGGACAGTGGCCCTCGAGGACTGGAATTGGCCACCCCTGAGTAACATATCATCCAAAACTCTTAAAATGGTGCAACCTGTGCATGCTTACAAACTAGGAGGTGCAGAGAACACAGTATCTGTATTTATTTATATTAGAATAAAAGTGAAAAGCATAACAATCCTGTTTTTGTTTATGTTACACTTATTTTAGAATATTAAAGTGTTAATATAAGGGTAAGTTACAGAGCTAACGTCGGGAATGCCAGCCTAATTTCTTCCTGGTTAAACAAGCTCTGCTGCATCTGTGTTCTAAGTAGAAACAGTGGCACAGCAACTTTGCGAGAACAGCTATAAATAGCACTCTGTTTCTCCAGTGTGATATCTGCAACCATGTGACACAGACTGACTGAGCAGCGAGCACAGTGTAAACTAGCTAGTAACTGCACTGCCAGAGCTAACATAGACTAATCTCCTCCTCGCGGTCAAACAAGCTCCCCTTCACATATTGCAGGACTGACAGGAAAACAAAAGACAATTAACATTATAATAAACTTCCTCAGCAGACCAGTTAAGTTAAATAACTGATATAATTGATAATAATTGATATAACTGGCTTAGCAACATACTATATTTTGCTGAATGTCTATATTTTAATCAGGCTGTGTTGCTCCTCTTCACTCTGTGCTCTCTCTCTCTCCCCTCCACTCTCTTATTGTCTTGTCTAGGTCAGCACAAGCAGGTGGAGCATAAATACTCAGCATGCTCACAGGTATGAGGATCATCAGCTATTTTATAATTCTTTTGTTTTTCTCCCCAAACCAGTTTTTAAAATATTTGTAGGAAATAAATATCTGTAATCCACTATTTGTGCTTTTCCAAATACTATATTTGTATTCGACTCCACCTCTATAACAAAGGACCTCATACAATGAAAAATGAAGTAAATAAATCCATCTTCACCTTCTTCCCTCTCTACATTCTTCTCTCTAAAGCCAACAATAGCTGCCATCCATCTCTGCAGTTGCAAAGTCACTCCCAAGAAGCCACAGCCATTGTTGTCAAAACCAAAGTGGAAAGGTAAGGCTTACAGCCGCCTGTCACCTGAGAGCACCCAGGGCCCATCCACGTGTTCACCGCAGGCACAAGTGGGGCTCTACAACTGACACAAAGGCTGGCAGGGAAGAGGACAAGGAAGTGCAGTGGATGGAGGACAATAGAGGAGTTAACACAAGGGCCCTCATTTGTTTTTCCCCTCATCAAACTGTTTTCACCTGGGCTGCACGGAGTCAGACCCTCTCCTGAAAACTGCCATACTATAGCATATCGTAATAATGGGGTCTGACCACCTCCCATAAAATGTCTTACTGTAGTATATCGTAAAAATGAAGTCCAACCCTATCCTGAAAAAAATGCCTTACTATATATAGTATGTGGTAAACTACCTACTGTAGTCCACACCAGCTATTGACTGCACCCTGACAAGGAAACAAACCCCAGCCTGCTGTGCCAAAGTCACCGCTGAGTTATCCGCCCACTGTATAGGCACACATTTAGAACTTTTACTTGTTTCTGCTACTGGTCAATAGGGCTTAGCGTCTGGAAAATTGTAAAAAGGCTGTAGGACAGAGCTAGCAAGTGAGTGATGTCCCCGACTCTAGCTTGTCTCATTCAAATTAATGGAGAGGCAGAGAAATGTCCTAAATCAACATAAAAACAACCGTGATAATTCAAAAACCGTACAAAAAAAGATACAAAAATGCAAATGAATAGTTGAACTTGTTGTGACTTGTTTAAAGGTTGAATGGTTTTTCTAGCTTAAAGTATGCTGAAGCTATTTGGGCTGAAAGAGGAGGAAGATTCTCCCACAGACTTCCATTATAAAAAATGTTGAAAAAAAGCTTAATATTTAAAAAAGTATAAAAGAAAAAACAAAGTTAAAAAAAAGCCATAATGTCATTAAAAATCTGAACATTTTGATATTTGAATGGTTTTTCTAGCTGAAAGTATGTGGGAGGAGTTGAGTGGCAAAAAAACGTATAGAAGAATAATAAAGAACCGGATAACAATAGTGTGGATGCTTACTCAGCATCCACACAATTAATTCTGCAGCCCTTAGATAACTGTTGTCCTGAAACTGAAAATTAGAGTTTTCAGGGGCCGCCCTTTGAAGAAAAGCAGGGGAGAGCACGAAGGGAAAGGGGGCAAGGGTCAGCTGAGTCATTCTCGTCACTATCAAAGGCTCGGCCCACTTCTGCTTCACTGGATGGGCTTCATCTCTGCTGACAGGTGTATTGTTTCGCAAAGGGATATAAGCTCTGCAGTCGTCATTGGGTGGAACGCATTAACACTCCTCACTAAGCAGGACTAATTGGCTTTAGTTTTAACTAATGTTGCAGTGTGACTGTAAGGCACACCTTCTGTATGAAGGCTCAGCACTCCCCAGCAAAATAACCGCTCAATTTAGCCCCACGGTAACAAAACCTCAACTCTGCTAATGAAAACTACTTATAAAATATAATGAACCTAAGCTCTCTTAATCAAATAAGATAAGTGTCCTTCCCCCTCCCTCACGTAATAACCTATTAATTTAATTGGTTATGAAAGAAAATAACACATCACTTACATTTAATTGACCTAGAAAGTAAAGTAGCAATATTTGACGGATTCAAGCTAGCAACGGCTAGCTGATGAGGCTGCAAACAACTATTCAGGAGGAAGAGTAGACATATTTCACCATCACTTTCCCAGCATCTTTTCTTTTCTTTTCTCCCTCATCCTCCCTTACTTCCTCTATTCACTCCTCCTTGTGATTTACTCTTCATTGGCCCTCCCTCTTTCTATCTGTCCCCTCTGTCTTTTCCCTCTACTGTCTACTTGCTTCTCTGTGCTTTGCCTTGTCGCAGAGGATTCCTCTGGTGGCCCAATTACAAGATTCAGCAGGCAAATTGAGGCTGTTTAAAAGCAAGGTCTGCTGGGAAGGCTAGCAGCTGCTGGAAAGAGGCTTCTTGGACACGGCAACCCAGCCGTCATGTTTACACACTCTCACACATAAACACAGACACACGTCATTGTGAAGCACAGGCTTTCTATTATCATGTTTCCCAGCATTTCCAAGCTGAAAGATGCCATTCGATGTGAGATTTTCTCTTTGTTTCAAGGTTGCACAAGCTCAAATGCACACACATTCTGTGGAGGGTTAATGGTCTCTATTTTTGTAAACTGAATAAGTCAAATCCATTGGTCACACCTCTGGTGATGGCATATTTAATTTGGATTTAGTCAATTAGGCCCAGCTAAGCTCCATACCCTGCTGGCTACCTCCTCCATTTTGCACTAGTTTGTGTCCCCTCCCTGTGCCAGGAGTAATCCTATTACCATACACACATATGGACATGCATACTGTAGGCACACATACGTTGTTATAAGGATATTCCACATATAGACAAATGTATGTCTTTCACATATGAATGTCTGCGTAAGGTAGACACGTACCCTATCAGGTATACACACACACACACACACGCACACACGGTGTACAAACACACAGGAAACAATGATGTTTCAGAATGATTGGACCCATAGCCACACACTGTGCACTGTGACAACACCAACCCTGTATACATCCAGAATTATGTGGGAGTCTATTTGGCCCTGGGGCAAGAGAGGGGGGAGGGAGGGAAGAGGAGGTGAGAAAGGGAGAGAGAGAGAGAGAAGCAGAGAATTAAAGAGAAACAGAAAAAAGGTGTTTGTGTGAAAGAGAGAGGATGAAAATTGACAGTGAAAGAAACCACAAACAGGGAGAGTGAGGAGTAGAATGGGGGGTGGTGGGGGTGGTGGTGGTGATGGGGCTCCTCTAGCTGGTTA